TAAAAAAAATAAATAAAATAACCCAGACCCAGATGGATTCATGGCAGAATTCTACCATGAAGAATTCAAAGACATTCAAAGAATATCTACAACCAATACTGCTTAAATTATTCAAAAAGATGGAAACAGAAGAACTCCCAAACTGTATGAAGCCAGTATCACTCTAATACCAAAACCAGGTAAAGACACACACACACACACACACACACACACACACACACAAAGAAAACTATAAGCCCAAATTCTTAATGAACATAGATGCAAAGATACAAACAGCATTCAGACACACATCAAAAAATCATTCACTACAATCAAGTTGGCTTTATTCCAGAGACGCAGGGATGGTAAGAGATGCAGGATGACTTACAATGTATGTAAGTCAATAAATATAATAAAGCATATAAATGAACTGAAAGACAAAAGTCACATGGTCATCTCAATAGATACAGAAAAGGCCTTTGACAAAATGCAACATGCATTCATGTTAAAAGTCCTAGAAGAAATTGGTCTTCAGGGAACATACCTCAACATAATTAAAGCAACAAACACATAGCCAACATTATTCTAAATGGAGAAAATCTGGAGACATTCCCATTAAAATCAGGACCCAGACAGGGCTGTCCACTATCTCCACTCCTTTTCAAGATAGTGCTTGAAATTCTTGCAAGAGCAATAAGACAAGAGAAGAAAATTAAAGGAGTGCTACTTGGAAAAGAAGAGGCCAAATTATCAGTATTTTCAGGTAATATGATATTATGCACAAGTGATCCCCAAAATTCCACCAGAATACTATTAGAAATTATTAAGACTTTCAGTAAAGTGTCAGGTAATTAAATCAACTTACAATAATTAGTAGCCTTTCTATATACTAATAACAAGCAATCAGAAAAGCATTTAAGGAAACTCTCCCATTCACAATTACCTCAAAAAAAAATTAAGGACTAAACCTAACCAAAGACATTAAATATCTCTAAAATGAAAATTTTAAATCTTTAAAGAAAGAGATAGAGGAAGACACTAGGAGATGGAAAGACCTACCATGCTCATGAATTGGTAGAATTAATATTGTGAAATGACCATCTTACCCAAAGCAATAGATTGAATGCAATGCCAATCAAAATACATTCTTCACAGTGCTACAAAAATTCATCCTAAAATTCATATGAAATCACAAAAGACTCCAGAAAGCTAAAGCAATCTTGGGCAAAAAGAATAACACTGGGGGGGATCACCATACCAGATCTCAGATTATATCACGGAGCTATAGTCATAAAAATAGTATGGTATTAACACAAAAATAGACAGGTAGATCAATGGAATGCAATAGAAGACCCAAATATAACTACATGCAATTTTTCCTGCTTGGTATTTGATAATGGTGCCAAGAATACACAATGGAGGAAAGACAGCATCAACAAATGATGCTGGGAAAACTGGATCTCCACCTATAGAAGAATGAAGTTGGACGCATATCTTTCACCCTACACAAAAGTCAACTTCAAATGGATCAAAGGCCTCAGTATAAAACCTGAAACTGCTAAAAGAAAACATAGGCAGTACCCTCCAAGACATAGGCATAGGAAAAAATGCTCTAAATGAGATATCAGCTGCTTGGGCAGGTTAACAATTAATAAGTGGGACCTCATTAAGCTATAAAACTTCCATATAGAGAAAGAAACAACCAAGGAAAGGAAGAGGACACCCACTGAGTGGAAGAAAATCTTTACCAGTTACACATAGGACAGAGGATTAATATCTAGAATATACAAGAACTCAAAAAACCAAAAAGGATCAAGAAAACAAATGACCCAATTAAAAGATGGGCTCAAATTCGAAACAGAGTTCTCAAAGGAAGAAATAAAGATGGCTAAGAAACATCTTAAAAGGTGAATGCTGACATCGTTAGTAATTAGGGAAATGCAAATTAAAACTACCTTAAGATTCTATCTTACTCCAGTCAGACTGGCTAAGATCAAGAGAACAAAAGACACCAAATGCTGGCAAGGATGTGGAGGAAGGGGAATGCTCATTCACTGCTGGTAGGAAAGCAAACTTGTGCAACCACTATAGAAAGCAATATGGAGAATGGTCAAAAAACTAAAACTGATCCTAGCACCCACATGGCAGCTAACAACTGTCTGTAACTCCAGTCCCAGGGGATCCAACAGCCTCTTCTGACCTCTGTGGGCATTGCATGACACTAGTGCACTTACCTACATGCAGGCAATACATGCATACACATAAAATAAAAATAATAAAAAAAATTTAAGTTTTTTAAAAAAACTAAAACTGAATCTACCATATGATCCAGTTATACCACTCCTTGGCATATAGTCAAAGGACTCATCCTACTGTAGATATCCCTATACATTCATGTTTGTTGCTGCTTTCTTCACACTAAGAAATGGAAACAACCTAAATGTCTCTCAACTGACTAATAGATAATGAAAATGTGGTACATCTACACAATGGAGTTCTACTCAGCAGGAAGAAAAGATAAAATCATGAAATTTGCAGGTAAATGGATGTAACTAGAGTGTGTTATACTAAGTAAAAAACACATACTCAGAAAATCAAAAGACATATGTTCTCCCTCATTTGTAATTGTAGCACCAATCCCTTATATGTGAGTATATATCCTGATGTTACACCAGGAGCCAGGAAAATGGAAAGGAAATATGGCAGTAAAGGAAAAGAAAGAACCTGAAAGAGGGGATAGTTAGGAACAGATGTTACCAGGGGGAGGTCAGAGGGGCATGCAGGGGGACATAGTGGGTGAGGAGGGAACTCAGGGGAGGTGGGATGGTGGGAGACAGGCGTTATTGGGGGGATGGTGAAGATAATGGAGGTACTTGGGCTGGGGAAGGAGGAGGGAGGTTGGATAAAGTGGAGAGAGAATAGAGATGAATAGATCTTGAGGGGGCTAAAGAAGCCAGAGGAAAATGTTTTGCTTCCACAACCCCATGAGAAATGCACATACAGTATCTGAACATTAGTGCATATGTATAACTGGGGGCTGTATGGCAAGGAACCTAGTACCAGACAGGAGAAACTTCCCTTCAGCAACTGGTCACAGTAGTCCAAGAGACTCCCAAAATAACATAGGCTATTGCCAGAACTCTTGGTTATCTCCCAGAACTAGAAGATAAGACCCTACTGCTGAAAACAGGACACACTTCAGACATAGGACTTGGAACAATGGAGCAGGAACTGACCTGGAAGCCTTCTACTTGAAGTTTACTTCTCATAGTTCTAGAGGATACTATGTAAGCTGCTAAGGGAGAAAATTAATCAATGGTCCAACCCAGCCCTAAAGCCAAATAACCATAATGACTGGCACAACCAACTACCTCTTTTGGTGCAATAGGGACACTATTATCTGGAGAGTAATCAATAGCTACCTAATTGGATTTAAAGCCTTCTCAGTAGGAATGGTCTCATGGGTAGCATTGTAAACACAGCCAAATACACATGGTTGGAGAGGTCACAGATCCTAGAGAAAACCCTATTTCTGTCATAGCTCCAGACGAATGAAATTTCTTACCATATGCTAAATATGGATCCTTATATTTACAGACAAGTATACCATATACCACACATCAAAGAAGCTTCTTTTTATAACACATGAGGCGGGGGGAGGGGGGACTACTGCAGAATTCCACAATTTGTCAGACACAGAAAATATATGTCTGAGAGATGCTCAGTCCTAGGTGACACATCTACAGTTGAACCTCTACACCTAAAGCTCATGGAACATAGCAGAACGGGGTAGAGAGAAAACTAGTACATCCCACAACTCTCCCCAGTGGAACTTCCTTAGAAACAATAGAGTGTGGTACACACAGAAGGCCATAACTGGCCACATTTTAATGAATAAGAGACTGCAGCGTGTGCGTCCCCGGATAGGACTCCTATATTGAACCTCACCCACCCACGCACAGCTCAGGGACCATTGCAGAAGGGGGGGTGGTGGTGGAAAGACTGTAAGAGCCAGGGCTGGTTCATGAACACAGGGAAGCAGAGGCTTTCAGTCTCCTGGAAGCTTGCATGTGTGAACTGGTGGCAATGGTGGCATCAAGCACAGGACCCATGCCAACTCAATCAGACAAGGGCTCAGAGCAGAGTGAGGGAAATGGGTGGCAGGCTGGTCCTAGTCAGGGAACTATTGAAGACTGATTACTACTGGGTGAGGGAGAGTAGGCCTTACTTAGGATCTCTAGGTAGGCTGACCAGACTCCAGTGGATGAATTTGCACTGATGGACATCTGGGTACAAATGCTTGATGGGACAGGACTTAACATGTATAGCAGAATACATAAGGTCCAGTGGGGGGGGGCGTAGATGGGGAGGGGGGTCTAAATTTGATTAAGTACTGTTGTATGAACTGTACAAAAGCTCAATAAAAATTAGAAAACAACTATTTTTCCACAGACAACTTTCCTAGTCTCGTGGGAAAGGCCTGGCATATAAATTGTAGTTTAACAATTTGACTACCATTATGAGTTTCTCAGAGAGTTGAAAATATTTTGTATAATTTTCTGTTGTATATCTCAAAAATATATATTCTTTTTAACTGAAATAATGAAAAAGAAATTTTCCTTAGTCACAGCTGCTGTTTAAAGGCTGATCTGAGCTTATACACCCTTAGAAGGAACAGCCACTGCATTTACCCAGCAAGCATATCTTGAGGCTCCATGGTACCGTGTGCCTTGCTGGATGTTAGAATGAAGGGACGAGCAAGGCAGAAGCAGCCTCTGCTCTCAGGGAAGAAGACCTTCACACCCATAGCCAAAGCCCTCACAGGCTCTTCCTGTATCTCCCCTCGGGGTCATTTAAAACTAGTGCCTTCCTTCTGAGGGCAGCCAAAAGCAAAGCTTTGCTAGGCCTTTCCTAGAATAGAAGTATCAATAGGTAAAATCAAAATGCTGTCATCCATAAGAATCCATATGCTAACATCTTTTGATGCTCAAAAGATTACGTGGAGATAAAACATTTCTTGCCTTTGGTGTGGAGGTCATGAAGCTGAAGAAGTGATTGTAAGGCTTCAGTGCTCTCAAACTCATGAGGATTCTGGAGGAAATCTTCAGTCTGGTCTATTTTTATAGCGAACTACAACAAAGTACAAGGGAAAGACATGAAAGCAAAAGCAGTCACTGTGACGCCTTAAGATATACGGGATTTTTTTCCTTGCATTAATGGTGTAGCTGACTAAATATGTGTGTGTGTGTGTGTGTGTGTGTGTGTGTGTGTGTGTGTGTGTGTAAAGGGAAAGGAAAGAGATCTGAAAATAAACACACCAAATTGCTACCTTTATGAGAAGAATGGAATTCAAGATGAGCGAGAGGAGGCGAACTTAGCTTTTGAAGCTATAGTTCAAAGCTTTATTTAAAGTTTTGTCAATAATGTTTGTGCATTGTTTATATAAATAGAATGAGATTAGCTAGAGCAGAAATGAAAACGGGGACATTTCTCCATTTCCAAGGAAAATGTATAACAATTTGACATGTAAATGGCAATTGACATGATCACTTTCTTTTTTACTTTTCCTGAAAATAAATTTGAGATGGAAAGACACACTGAAGTAAGGATATAACCCTCAGGAGGAGGATCGTAGACAAATTTTAGATGAGGGCAAAGCATAGTTGGCTATTCCATTAGAACACCGCCACAGCAGCACACGGCTGGTGTGTTTCAGTGCTAAGGTTCAGTGGGGATTATCATAGTTTATAAAGAGCATGTTAAAATGGATTTGGTTTAGAATAAAATAACAAAGGTGAAATATCAGTGGGGAAGATGGAGAAGCCTCCACAGTGCTGGCCCTTTCTTTTTGCTTTCTCTAAACTACCATCTTTGAAGTTGGTGACTGTTAATATTTATAGAATGAGCTGCTTCAGATAATATATCACATTTGATTACTACAGCAGCTGCATAGGATGTAGTTATAAGTGGTGTGGAATGATGAGCGACTGTTGGGCATGCCTCCTTTGAAAAGCAGAGAAGGCCTCTGCCATTCTGTAGGATATGCTGACAGACGCCTGCCACTGTCACTCGGTGTTGGAGAAGACCCCACACACATACCTGACAACTAAGCCTGTGAGCCAGAAACTGTCCTGTAATAACTGTCAATCACACCATCATAAACTGTCTTATATTCCTAAAGATTTCTAGTGTTTATAGTTCAACAGGAGGTTACATCTCTCATTCATTCAGTTTCTGATAACTTATTTTAAAGACAGTCTTCTAGGAGAATCTTAAAAGGGAAAAAACATCTCCCATACTTTGTTGTCTTATAGAACATTCATTACAGGAAGTTTAGATCCACCGTATATCTGTATTTCAAACTCTAATAAAAAATTTTGAAAAACATAAACAATGTTCTAAAGCTCTCCTGATCCCATTAACTTTTATCTTGTGAATGTTTTCCCCATGTAAAACTTGTGCTTTCCTTCTTTCTACAGTTTGTACAAGGTAGAAGCAGCCACTGGGACTTCTTTAAAAGAGTTACAATTAATTTCCTCATCTTTTCTTGTCACTAGTGAAAATTGCTTTGTCATAGAGAAGCAGCAGGAAGGTTATGTAGACATCTGCCTTCCACTCGATGTGAGTAGTTCACAGAATTTGACACAGGAAAATACAGGAACATTTAGTCATTGCCTTAGATTCAATAAAAGCTCACTCAAGGGTAATAAGAGTGCTTGGCTGACATGATTTGACTTAGTATTTCCTCTCTCCATGTAATATCTGGAAGTAATCCCGTATCAGAGAGAAAATTAGCTAATATTAACACATGGAGAAATAAATATTGAGACTAATGTTAGAAAAAAGATAATTTCCTGTGTTCAGGAGACTGATTTTCAAGGCCAGTTGACACCTACACTCCACTTACTAAGATGGAATGAACCAGCTAGATCTGCAATTTGGCCCCTGTAAGTATATTCCTGATGGCTTATGTGTCTTTTAAGAAAGAAGATTGTATATGGGAGTTTTTCCCAAGATGGTCTGTAAAATAAGCTGAGTTTCAGTGTTCAAGGTGTGGAGTGCAAATCTTCAAAGTTACAATAAGGCTTTTGCTCCCTCTTCTTAACTTTTAAATGCACACTTGATACATGAGATTGTCTACCTCAATTTTTGTGTTCTATTACTAATCTTCTTTCCTTCATTATTTTAGATTTAACTCCTGAATTTTCCCTGTAAAAATGTCCTATTTTTCAAAGCTAGTACTTTATCATAATGAAACAGTGTCCGCACATCAGAATGTGCTGCCACTGGACAGAGAAGTTACAAAGTGAAATTTTCAATAACTGTCTTATACTAAATATACCTCTTTTGAATTTTTTCTTTTTGTTTTACATTTTGAAATTGAAAACCTCAAAAAATATCAAAGAACTCAAGAAAAATTACAGAAGGAAATGGCCATTCATCTTAGGTCTAGGACTTTTCCCTTCCTTTCCTTGTGTTTTAATGAGTCAAACTATGCAACTACATGCTCTAGGAAAATGTTCTGTAAAATGCTATGTTTACAAGTCAAACATTCTATAGAATTCTATGTAATTCATTTTTTAATGAGCAGCAGAAATTTTATCCTCCAACTTTTAGCCACCAAAAGCCTTCCACATCAGCACTTCCTAGGAACTGTACAAAAAGGCTAATTAGATTCCAGAGCTATATTATGATGTTCTAAAGAAGGAACTAGATCAAAATGACAAGTGACAGTTCCCACTCTTACTATTTTATTGAATTAAGTAAACTTAGTTCATGTTTGAAGATCTATATTTAAAATATTGATTTTATATTTTGTCAAAATAAAAAAACCTAACTGTCTTGTATATGCCTTGGTTATTCTGCCATTTTCGAACATGGTTGCAATGTGTGTTTTATGGGACTCAACTTTTTTTAGTGTGCTTACTATGACCTCAATATGGAGAAGGCAAATGTTTTCTGAAACACCAACCTCTAAAGCATTTTCAAAGAACTCAGAAGTCAGCCTAAGGAGCTCCCTCCTTCTTTCAAGCATGGAGACCAGGGCTGTCCACGCTTCTCCCAGGGTCTGGGCCATGGCATCATAGACCTGACTCTGAGACTTGTTTTCTTCAGCGGTCTTGTCTGCTTCCTGTAAGAGTTCCCACACGCGATCTTCCAAAGCCTAAGTCCAGGAGAACACAAGGCACATGTCAGTGTGAAAACAAGGGGCATCATCTCAAATAGTAAATACCTAAAATTGTATGTTGTCTAGGAAGGTCTAAAAGCATTTGTAAGTACAAACTATGTGTGGAGTGTGGAGGGGGAAGACCGTGAAGAACCAGGGAGCACAGCCAAGATAAAGGCATCCACATTCAAACACAATTCAAACATGGTACAGGTTTGTTAATGTACCTGCCTACGTTCCTGGGGTGAAGGATTGAATATTAGGTTGATTTTAATTTTCCAAGACAAATAAATAAGTAAAACTCATTGGATACATCCTGTAAAGAGATCAAGAAGAAAAAAGTTGAGGGACTGGAAAGATGGCTCAGTGGTTAAGAGCACTGGCTGCTCTTGCAGAGTACCCAAGTTTGATTCCCAGCACCCACATGGCAGCTAACAGATGTCCATAACCCCAGGTCCAGAAGAATCCAATGCCCTCTTCTGACTTCCACTGGCATTGCACAACACAGGTGCACTTACATGCATGTAAGCAATACACTCATGCACATAAAATTAAAAAAAAAAAATTTAAGAAAAAAGTTGAGAAATATGGTCTGTAAAAGTTATTTTTTAAATCATTATCATCAATTGTTAATATACTCATGGAACTTAATGCAAAATTAAGAATTGTCATAAAAGAATATCATATTGCAAAAACTTAGAGGGTCTGTTATAACATTACAGATTGTTTTAACAAACTATTGAAGATGAAGAGGAATGTGTGCTTATATATTTGTCTTTCTTAGGGCTAGCAGGAGGATTCTATAGAGGAAGCTCCCAGCTCAGTAAACACTGTCTCAAGAAGTGAGGTGGGGAGTGATTGAGAAGACACTTGATGGCCAACTCTAACCTCTGTTCACACACATCCTCTCTTCTCTCTCTCTCTCTCTCTCTCTCTCTCTCTCTACACACACACACACACACACACACACACACACACATACACACCTCAAAAGCAAACTAAATCAAACAGAAGGAAGAATGACAGGGCTTAAAGACAGATCCTTTGTGATTATCACATTCAGACAGAAAACAAAAAAGAACAAGACAGAATTTTAAAAGCCTTCTGGATCTTTGGGATGCAATTACTACTACTAGAGTAGCCAAAGGTGAGAAAATAATGATTAAGGACACAGAATGACTATTCAATGATATGGTAACACAAAGCTCCCCTAAGGTTTAGGAAAACATAGATATTTGTTAACTATGTAGAACTCCAAATTAGATGACCAGAAAAAGACCTTTACAAGACATATTTCAGCCAAACTTTCAAAAATACTGCACAAAGAAAGAATTTTTAAATCTCCAAGAGAAGAGTACCAAGTTGCATTTAAGGGCAACCCTGTTAGACTAACAGCATATTTTTAAAAGAGAAATCCTACAAACTAGGAGGTGATAGAATAATGTGTTAGAAGTCCTGGAAGAAGATATAGTCAAGATTACTATACATAGCAAGTCTACCTTAGAAATGAAGAGATGAAGGCCTTCCGAGATAAGCAAAAACAGGGAATTTATGATCAGCAGACCAGCCTTGAAAAAGATGCTTAAAGGAATCTTACATTCAGAAGGGAAGGGTAACTACCATCATGGCACCATGGGTAAATCCTACTAGTAGAATAGATACACACACACACACACACACACACACACGCACACACACACACACGAGATGCCATCAGTACAGTAATCTATCAGACTACAAAGAAGAGTAAGAGTGTGGTGGTTAATCTTGTTTGTTGACTTGCCAGGATCTGGAATAAACTAAACACACCTGCAATTAGGTTAATTGAAATGGAAAAACAACTCTAAATGTGAGCAACACCTTCTGTTGGCAGCTCTGATATGAGAAGGTCCAAAGGGAAATCTCTGATTTTTGCTAACTTGCCTTTGTATCTCACTGGCAAGTTCTTCTACCCTGTTCACAATTTCATCTACGCTGTTGCTGCTGCTGCTGCTGTGACTCATCCATCCTTTATTGACATTAGAACCTTCATCAGTCTTCCAGTGTGGGCTGAAGACCAAGGGGCTCTCCAGGAATCTCCTAGGTTCAGTGTCTGAGACTGCTGAAGCATCCAGCCCTATGGACTGAACCAGTTCCCAGCCTCTCCAGTGTCTTCACTTCATTGTTGGACTACTGGACCATTATCAGGTATGCCAATCTAATAAAGCCCCTTTTAATATACATTTATTCTATCAGTTCTCTTCTTATGGAGACCTCTGACTAACATCGAGAGGAATTTAAAAAAAAAATAAAGAATGCTCAAAACAACTAAGGAAAATCAACATAGCAGGCATATGTTATTACCCTTTAATAATAACTCACATGTAAATGGACTAAATTCTCTAATTACAAGATGGAAACCGGTCGAATGGAATATAAAATGATGATGATGATGATGATGATGATGATGATGATGATGATGATATGCTGGCTACAAGAAACTCACTTCACTAGGAAAGGCATACACAGATTGAAAGTGAAAGGAGGGGAAACAATTAGAATTCTAAAATGAGCAGGACTAGCTATACTCATGTCTGAAAAATAGACCTAAAGTAAAAAAAAAAAAAAAAAAACTATAAGGAGAAAGAAGTCATAATACAATGATCAAGCAATCCACTTGCCAAGAAAATGTAATAATTGCAAATATATCTACACCTAATATCAGAGCAGCCATTTTATAAAATAAATGCTATTAGAACTAAAGGGGAGGCAGGTCCCAAAACAAAAATATTTGGGAGATTTTAATTCTCCAGTCTTATTAGTGGTTAAATCACGAACACAAAAATCAACAAAGAAATATCAGTTAAATCATGGTATATCTCAAACTGACTCAAAATATATTTATAGGGCTGGGAGACGGCATGGTGGGCAAAGCATTTGCCATGGAAGCATGGGGACCTGAGCTGAAATCCCCAGGACCCCATAAGCCAGCATGGGGTAGGACATGGCTGTCATCGAGTCTTCCTATGGCCAGACAAGAGGCAGAAACAGAATCCCTGGGAATTCTTGGGTCAGCTAGTGTGGAGTATGCAGTGGGTAACAACAAAGGAGGCTCTGTCTCAAAACAAGGTAGTGGGTCAAGGCTTACATCTTGGACTGTTCTCCAGCCTCCCCATGTATGCTGTGGCATGTAACTCTTGCATTTATAGACATGAACATGCATATCCATACACACAAAATTAAAAAAATATTAAGTTGAAAGGTATTTACAGAACAATCCATTCAATAGCTATAAAATATATACTATTTTAATTAACATTGGGAACTTTCTCTAGAACAGATCAAATATGAGGAACAAAACAAGTCTTAACAAATTAAAAAAAATGAAATCTTGTCCTGCACCTTTTCTGACCACAATGTAATGAAACTGGAAGCTAACAGGAGAATGTTAGAAATTACACAAATTTATGGAGATTGAAAGCATGTTTCATGTTTTTGATCAAGGTCACTGAAGAATTCTGAAAGAAAATTAGGATGGTTCTTGAAAGCTAGGCATGGTGGCTCACACAGGTAATTCCAACACTCCGAAGACTGAAGCAGGATTACCATTAGTTCAAGACCAGCCTCAGCTACCAAATTAGTTTGAGGCCAGCTGGGGCCACAGAGCGAAGACCTTGTTTCTAAAAGGAAAGTAGACCAAAAGGGAAATTTTTTTAAACAAATGGAAATGGAAATAAAATTTCCCCAAACTGGCAAGTTTCAACAATAGCAATACTGAGGGAAGCATCTAGCAACGAGTACCCATGCAAAAGTGGAGAAATATTCCAAAGAAGCAGCCTAATGACATATCACACAAGGTCTTAGAAGAGCAAAGAATCCAAAATCAGGAGAAGGAAAGAAATAAATTTGAGTTTAAAAAAATGAAAATGATCAGTGAGACTAAGGAAAAGATAAACCAAGAAACTTTAGAGTCTCTCTCTCTCTCTCTCTCTCTCTCTCTCTCTCTCTCTCTCTTCTCTTACCAAACTCAGACTTAGAATGAGAGATTTTATTTAAATATCTTCATAAATAGGAATGGTTCCTAATTTTTGTTCTATCTTAATGTGGTGATTTGAATGAGAAAGCTCCCCATAGGCCCCAAGTATTGGGATATTTTGTCCCCAGTTGGTAGTGGCGCTGTTTTGGGAGGTTTTAGAAGATGTGACCTTACTAGAGGAAGAATGTCACTGGGGGTGGGCTTTGAGGGTTCTCTGCTTCCTGTGTCTGGTTGAAGATGTGAGGGCTTAGCTTTCTGCTCCTGCTCCTACCACCTCACCATACCTCCCTGACATGACAGACTCTAATCCATCTGGAACCTGAACCCATAAGCTCAGATAAACTTTTCTTCCCATAAGTTCCCTTGGTTACGGTGTTTTAGCACAGCAACAGAGAAGTAACTAATACACTTAAGTTCTGATATGTTGATAATGCAAGACTTTAAAATAAGTTAGAATACTTTTTCCATATTTGAAGTAGATAAATTGGTATAGCATGTCTGTCTCTCTTTCCTGAATGTTGTTGGGATTTTTCCAAATAAAAGTGACAGAATCAAAGCATTTTAGAACCAGTACATTTGGGAACATACACTCTAAAAAATTCTGCAATGCTTTTCCCTGTAGGTGATATTGGTGATAGTGATGATAGTGAGGCAGAGGGTAAGATTTTCTTAAACTTAAAGCAGAGGAGCTTTTGGCAGTTGATGGCTTTGGGGGAGGAAGAGTCAGTTTTCTTCAGTGGTGTGACCCATGGTAGGTTGCCAGGCTCCAGCTGATGGCTCCAGTTGATGCCCATGCTTCTCATATAAGCAGCAATAATTGGACTTAGTAGGTTATTTTTTTCTTAAGCAGAAGAGAATAGGAAGTAGGAAGAAGGATTGGGGGAGGCGTGTCCAGGAAGAGTTGGAGGGACGGACCAGAGGTGCATATTATCTAAATACATTGTATTCCTCTATGAAATTTCCAAGAATAAAATTTTAAAGG